TAGGATGGGCCAATCAGGTGCAGCTACCTTAGGCTTTTACTCTGGAGTTATTGGTGAAAAGAAGCAGTCAATAGAAGAGTGTTTCTGGCAGCAGCAACTCCCCGTTTCCATGGCAGCTGTGGTAGCTGTGCGGAGCTCAGGTCCCCAGCCTGCTGGTGTCAGTGATGTGAGGCCTGCCATCTAGTGGACAGCAGTGTCCTCACCAGACACTGTTTATGGTTGAGCTGTGGTTATAGCTGTTTAGGCTCGGAGCCTAGGTCTCCAGCTTTCCCAGTGATTCTGTGAGCTATTTATAGCTTAACTTAAAATCAGAATCTATTTCCGTTGCTTGCAACTGAGAACTCTGACCAATATAGCATTTCAGAAAGCTCTCCTCAGTTCTCTTTTTTCTATACCACCTAAGTAAGACCACACTTATACCTGTATTTTCTAAACTTCTATTGCATCATTAAAGAATCCATGCAGATTAGCACACTATCATTTGTTATGTTATACTTTAATTTTCCATTTTCATATATATTTAATTACAGGTCCCATTGTGTCTATAAATTATGTCTCTCCAACAACACCATGAACCAGCCTGACTGGCGTGGCTCAGTAGTTGAGTGTCAACCTATGAACCAGGAGGTCACAGTTCCATTCCCAGTCAGAGCACATGCCTGGGTTGTGGGCTCTATCCCCAGTGAAATGTGTGCAGGAGGCAGCCGATCAATGATTCTCTCTCATCATTGATGTTTCTATCTTTTTTGCTCCCTCTATCTTCTTCTCTGAAATCAATATAATAAATAAAAAAATATATTTTTAAAAAATACCATGAACCATGAGAACGATTACATATGAAAGATGCTCTAGTTAGCTTTGCTCAGTGGTTAGAGCGTCCACCTTCGGACCAAAGGGTTTCAGATTCAATTCCCAGTCAAGGGCATGTACCTTGGTTTCAGGTTCCATCCTCAGATCTGTGGGGGGGTGTTGGGGAGGCAATTAGTCAATGTGTCTCTCTCATGTCAATGTTTCTCTCTCTCTCTCTCACTCTGTCTGAAAATCAATGAAAAAACATTTCCTAGGGGAGGGTGGGGGTACGGGGAAGAGATCAACCAAAGGACTTGTATGCATGCATATAAGCATAAGCGATGAACACAGACAACAGCGGGTGAGGGTGAGGGCAAGACTGGGGGAATGAGGGGACAATTGGGGGGATAAAGACACATTTGTAATACCTTAATCAATAAAAAGTTAAAAAATATATCCTTAGGTGAGGATTTTTAAAAAGAATGGAAATAACATAGCCTTATATACTTGATGGAAATGATGGGAATAAGAGAAATTGAAGATAGAGGGGTGAATGGCTGGCAGGCCCAATGTCCGTATTTAAGAGGAGAAAAGGTCTAGTACCCAATCAAAGAGTTGGCTTGGAAGCAGAGACAGACCACTTATAGCAGGGGAAGGGCAGGCAAAGCATAGGAGTACAGATGCTGTCAGTGGGTAGATGTGGTGGTGGATGCTTTAATTTTCTCTCTGGATGAGGAAGCAATGTTATCAGTAGGGAATGATAAGGGAAGAAGGTGTAGGAGGTTGGAGCAGGTACGGAATCGTCATCCAGGACAGCAGTCTAGGGCACAAGGCAACTTTCCAAAAAGTTTACAATATGGATAATTTTGAAAGAATCCGTTTCCAGATACTCAATTTTCAAATGCTATTTTCCTAAAATTGATCTTTTTTCCTAAAAAGAACGTTACCTTCCCAATCTCAATTGCCCTTCTCTCACTTTACAGAAATCATACTTCCCACTCAGCCCAAATCTTAGCACATAATTAGGCAGTATAACATGGTAATTATGATTCTCAACACTGGGGCAAGATTGCCTTGAGCTGAATCTCAGCTTTGCTATTTACCTGCTCTGGTGCCAGTCTCCAAAATGGCTCCCAAGGATCCTGACTCCTGATATTCATGCCCTTGAGTTGTTCTCTTCCTCACTGAATCAGGTCTGGTTTATATAATTAACTAGAGGCCCGGTGCATGAATTCGTGCATGGGTGGGGACCCTTGGCGTGGCCTAAAGGGATTGGGCTGAAACCGGCAGTTCAACACCGCCTGCCGCTCCTGTCTGCCGCTCCCACTCATTCTGGCCCCACTGTGCCTGCCATGGGCTCACGCCAAATCAGTCCTGATCGGGAGAGGCTCGAGTTGCCACAGTGGTGCTTGCCAGCCGAGAGCCCCGTGTCTGGCACTCATCCTGCGCTGGTTGTCGGGAACTACCTGGCAGCCGCTTTTATATCGTTTTTTCCTTGCAGATCATCTAGGGAAGGGAAGCAGCCGCAGTGCCCAAGGCTGACTTCCAGGAGGCCGACAGTGCTGTCGGGATTGTGCCCGGAGAGCCAGTCCACCGGTGCCTGGCCTGTTCTCCGGAGATTGGACTTGCAGGACTACTGAGGGAGTGAGTGGCTGCTGCCAGGCTGGTGGGCCACCAGGGACAGGTCGGTTAGCTGAGCGGCACTCCCACTGTGGGAGTGCACTGACCACCAGGGAGCAGCTCCTGCATTGTGCATCTGCCCCCTGGGGATCAGTGTGTCATCATAGCAACCCGTGGTAACAGTCACTTAGGCTTTTATATATATAGACTAGAGGCCCAGTGCATGAAATTCGTGCACGGGGAGGGGGGTCCCTCAGCCCGGCCTGCACCCTCTCCAATCCTGGACCCCTTGGGGGATGTCCAACTGCCTCTCACAATCCAGGACTGCTGGCTCCTAACCACTCACCTGCCTGCCTACCTGATCGCCCCTAACTTCTTCCCTACTGATCTGATCGCCCCTAACTGCTCCCCTTCTGGCCTGATCGCCCGGGTCTTGGGTGCCTGCGACCGGCCGGAGGAGGGAATCTTGGGTCCCGGGTGCGGGGCGAGGCAGAGGTGGTTAGGGGAGTGTGGCTTATCCCTCTCCTGGGCCGGCAGCTGCAGGTGCTGGCACCGGCACCCAGGACCTCAGGCTGGGCAGCTTGTCCCTCTTCCGGGCTGCAGGCGCAGGCGCAGCCTCTGGAGACTGAGACCGCGGGGCAGGCAGCTTGTCCCTCTCCCGGGCCGCAGCCTGGCTGGTCCCCATTCCTCTCTTGCAAGCTCATTTGTGCCTGGCTGGTCCCCATTCCTCTCTCCCCAGTGCTGAGTGTCTGAGCCGTTAAGGTGTGACAGCATGAGGGTGTGATGACCATTTGCATATTAGCTCTTTATTATATAGGATGTGTGATGACAAAGGCTGGGTCATAATGGGCATTGCAGCTTCCACCTTGCTCTTTTGGGTTGTTTGCTCTTGGGAAAGCCAACTACCCCATCATAAAGACACTCAAGCAGCCCAATAGAGAGGCCATGTGGAGAGGACCTGAGACATCCTACGAACAGTCATTGCCTGCTTGCTCACCATGTGAATGAACTACCTTGGAAACAGATCCTCCAGCTCCAATCAAGTGTTTAGATGACTGCAACCCCAGATAATATCTGACCAAAATTTCATGAAAAACCTCAATTCAGAATCTCACAGCCAAGTCATTTTTGAATTACTGGTTCACAGAAGCTGTGAGAGAACTGCCTGAAAGCTGGATGAATGAAAGTCCTACAACTAGAGAAATAAAGAAGAAAGCACATTGAGACTGGTAGGAGAGGCTGGTCCTACACCCATGTGTGCTGTTTTTTTAATCAGGAGGGCCATCTCTCTGCGGAGGCTGCCCATGAGGAGCAAGGGGTCCCAGCCTCACACCAGGTCCCCATCCCAGGATTCCAGAGCTGGGAAGAAAAGTCCCCACAAATACAGGCTGTAAAAACCAGCAGGGATTGTGGCTGAGTGATTTGGAGGCTGCTGGAGTCCCAGGTGTTCCATTTAAAGGGCTGGTGCACAAACTTACTCAGACTCTCAGTACTGGGCAGCTATGGGGGACCCAGACACATATGGGGAGGAACTGGATTTTCTGGCATTAGAGCAGAAACTTGGGGGCAGCTTTCTCCCAAACGGGAGTGCTCATAGGGGTCATTGTTCTTATGCTGGGATCTCCTCCATCCCAGGACTGACTGACAGCCATGTCTCAGTCTCCATCAGCCTGAAGCACACTGTTTGCTCTGCCCTGGGGATTCCCTGAGACCATTCCCCATCCAATTCGAAGCCCTACCCAAGCTGTTCGCAGCAGCTTGTTCATATGAATGGCCTGTCCTGGCTCAGGCTTCAGACTTTGCTAAAATCTCTCAAACAAGCTGCAGCTGGTGACTGCATGCCCAAAACCTATCAACAAAAGGCCCAAGACCCGGCACTAGCACCAGCCTGCCTTGTTTCATAGCTGGGCTTTGCATGGGCAAAGCAAAGTCCAATACAAATAGAAAATAGCAGCCATCTGCAGATCCCTCTGTAGCTCCTGCTGGGTGGCCCCAGGCAGTGGCTGACTTTGCACTTCCCTGGTGGCCCTAGAGCCAGTGCACCCGGTGGACAGCCTCCCACAACCACATCAACAATTCAATTAAAGCCCCACTGGCATGGTTCAGTGGTTGAGCATCAACCTATGAATGAGGAGGTCACGGTTTGATTCCCAGTCAGTGCACATGCCCAGGTTGCAGGCTCAATCCCCAGAAGGGGGCATGCAGGAGGCTGCCAATCAATGATTCTCATCATTGATGTTTCTATCTCTCTCTCCCTCTCCCTTCCTCTCTGAAATCAATAAAAATATATTTAAATTTTTTTCAACTAAAAAACAGAACATAGCAGATTACAACTCTAACACCCACAAGTGATACACTCAAGAGGCAGACTCAGTGGACACCAAAGCCCCACTGGAGCAAGTCCTGCTCTATAGGGGTGTTTCCTGCACAGCAGCTTCCTACTGTAGTCACAGCTGTTTTTCACAGCCAATTGACCCTCCCACAGAGTCTCAGCGGGTCGGGCAGGCGGCGCTGCGGGCGATGATACTTGCTGGGTTGTGGTTTGGGTGTGACTGTGGGACCTGAGTTCCTCACCTTCTCAGCCCATCAGAGAGCTGGCGGCCGTCATGGCGATGCGGGAGCTGGTGGAGGCCGAATGCGGGGGGGAGGGAGGGGTGCCAACCCACTCATGAAGCTGGCCGGGCACTTCACCCAGGACAAGGCCCTTCGGCAGGAGGGACTGAGGCCCGGTCCCTAGCCACCAGGAACCCCAGCCTCCGAGGCGGTCCCTAAGCCTTTGGGGGTAGCCTCTGAAGATGAGTTGGTGGCCGAATTCCTCCAGGACCAGAATGAACCACTTTTATATCGCGTGCCCCTCAGACCTTCAAGATGGATGACCTCCTGGCAGAGATGCAGGAGATTGAACAGTCAAGTTTCCACCAGGCACCCCAGAGAGCCCCTGGGGTGGCAGACTTGGCCTTGTCTGAGAACTGGGCCCAGGAATTTCTTGCAGCTGGAGATGCTGTGGATGTAACGCAGGATTATAATGAGACGGACTGGTCCCAAGAATTCATCTCTGAAGTTACAGGCCCTTTGTCTGTGTCTCCTGCCTGCTGGGCTGAGGAATATCTGGAACAGTCAGAGGAGAAGTTGTGGCTGGGAGAGCCTGAGGGAACAACTGCCAGTGATCGCTGGTATGATGATTATCATCCTGAGGATGATCTACAGCATACTGCCAGTGACTTTGTGGCCCAAGTGGATGACCCCAAATTGGCTAACTCTGAGGGTACATCAGATGCCTGGGTTGACCAGTTCACAAGACCAAGGAACACAGCTGCCCTTGATATGGAGTTTGAACGAGCCAAATCAGCTATAGAGTCTGATGTCGATTTCTGGGACAAGTTGCAGGCAGAGTTGGAGGAGATGGCGAAACGGGATGCTGAGGTTCACCCCTGGCTTTCTGACTATGATGACATCACGACTGCTTCCTATGATAAGGGGTACCAGTTTGAAACTGTTCCCTTTCTCAGATCTGTAATTTTATTAGTAACTTATGTGTAGAGGATTCCTCTGTATCTTAATCGGAGGGAGTTGGCAGGTGAGGCCATCATGACTGCATTCCAAAGCTTGGCTTGGATCCCAGGGTACTGATGGGTGCCATTGTCACTGCAATACCAGTTCTGTCCATCTCTGTTCAAACAGGTGTCTGGAGCTAAAGCCAGATAACCAGACAGCATTGATGGCACTGGCTGTCAGCTTCACCAATGAGTCCCTGCAGCGACAGGCCTGTGAAACCCTGCGAGACTGGCTGCACTATATACCAGCCTATGCCCACCTGGTGGTGCCCGGGGAAGAAGGGGCCAGTGGCGCAGGACTGGGCCCAAGCAAGCGCATCCTGGGAGCTCTGTTGTCTGACTCCCTGTTTCTTGAAGTGAAAGAGCTCCTCCTGGCAGCTGTGTGCCTGGACCCTACAAACATTGACCCTGATGTGCAGTGTGGGTTAGGGGTCCTTTTCAACCTGAGTGGGGAGTATGACAAGGCAGTGGACTGTTTCACAGCTGCCCTCAGCGTTCGTCCCAATGTGAGCCTCAGGGGAGGAATGGAAATAGGACATCACTCTGTACCTTATGGAAGAATCATTTGTTGGGACCTTTGGAGTCATGGGATAGTTCATTCCAGTGTTCCATGTACAGGTTACCTTGGGAGAATTGGGCAAAGAAGGGTGGGTGTGCAGAGCCATCTGAATTTACAGGAGTCTGTATGGTGAGAGTGGTTACATTGAGCTACACAATGAACTGTTGAGGGGAAAGGAATGGGGTTGTAACATACATTAGCTAAACAGATTGGTGAACAGGGGAGGAATGGGCAGAATTTGATCTGAGCTCGGCTTATGTTCCTAACCCTTCTCCATCCCTATCCCAGGACTATTTGCTGTGGAATAAACTGGGGGCCACCCTAGCCAATGGAAACCAGAGTGAAGAAGCAGTAGCTGCATACCGTCGGGCCCTTGAGCTACAACCAGGCTATATACGGTCCCGCTATAACCTGGGCATCAGCTGCATCAACCTTGGGGCTCATCGGGAGGCTGTGGAACACTTTTTGGAGGCCTTGAACATGCAGAGGAAAAGCCGGGGCCCTCGGGGTGAAGGGGGCGCCATGTCAGAGAACATCTGGAGCACCCTGCGTTTGGCATTGTCCATGTTAGGCCAGAGCGATGCCTATGGGGCGGCTGATGCCCGGGATCTGTCCGCCCTCTTAACTATGTTTGGCCTGCCCCAGTGACAGTGGGATGGGCTGCCCTGTGAGTGTCTGCCTGGAGGGGTCCCCGCTCTGGATGTGACTCCCTCTCCCCAAATGGGCCTACCAAGGGGGTGGGCTGATGATCATAAGCGGTACGGCCTCTCAGGAGTGGCCTCAATGTAGGGGTGGGTAGTCTTTGTTCTAGTTCCTACATAATTGTAGGAAAATGAGCTGTATCTCTTGAGTCCCTTGGTAATTCAAGGGTGCACACCCGGCTACAGATCTCTGCATATCATGCCCTTTCTTGGTGCTGCTTTTTGGGTAGGACCCAGAGATAATAGGGTAACTGTTGTCATCAGCTGCCATTTCTCATAGGGTCTACCACATTTGTAATGTCTGTCCCCCCTCCCCCTTTTACTGGGAATTGATAATAGTACAGCTTCCTTGGGCAGTTATGTGTAGGCCATTCTTCTACCATGCACCTCTGTGATGACCATATCTAGGGCTGGATGGCAGGAGTTGGCCTGTTGGACTTAAATGTTGATTTGGCTCAGCAGAGTCAAGTTTTGGTAGGGGTGCTCATAGTTCTGTCATTCTTGGACCTCTCCTGGCTGTTGCTCAGATTCCCTGGGAACGATGCTGCACCAGGAATGCTGGTCTCACTATCTGGGGGTCCTCAAGAGCTGCCAGGGTAAATTGCTACACAGTGTTTGGTGTTGCGTAGCAGGAAGGCTCACTTGTGGAATTAGCTAGCCTAGAAGGGACCTGATGGGATCAGGTCAAGGGCTGTGCTCTGTGCCCGTTGGTGGAAGGACGGCATTGGGACGTGGGATGTGAGTGCAGGAGTCCCTCCTCCTCTTAGACCTGTGAGTAGGAATTGAACTAGTAGCTCTTCTAGAAAGTTGCTTCAGAAATTGCCATCTTGCCAAATTCCTAGCAAAGAGATGGTTCAGTGTTACCTTAGGACTTTGCTGTACGTCTTGACGTGTTTCTAGGGGAGAGTGTAAAATAATCCCTTTCCCCTATAGTACCTCTGCAAAGTGAAGACTGAGGGAAGAGGAGGGAGCCTCTTGGATTCTTCTCACCTGTGCCCTGTGTGGGGAGCTACATTAACCTCCAGAAATGACTGCTGAGCCTCTTGCCTTGTCATTAGTAGCTAATGATCAGAATTTTTTTTTAAACTACCATGGTCCCAAGGTTCCATTCTGAGATTTATTTTTCTTTGTATGAATATGTGTAAATGATTTTAAAATAAAACTGTAAAATATTTGTAGGAAGAAAAAAAATTCCTCCCACAGACACCAACAGCAATCAAGGCCCTAAAAGATTGGCCTATTGGACTTAAATGTTGATTTGGTTCAGCAGAGTCAAGTTTTGGTAGGGGTGCTCATAGTTCTGTCATTCTTGGACCTCTCCTGGCTGTTGCTCAGATTCCCTGGGAACGATGCTGCACCAGGAATGCTGGTCTCACTATCTGGGGGTCCTCAAGAGCTGCCAGGGTAAATTGCTACACAGTGTTTGGGTGTTGGGTAGCAGGAAGGCTCACTTGTGGAATTAGCCTAGAAGGGACCTGATGGGATCAGGTCAAGGGCTGTGCTCTGTGCCCTTTGGTGGAAGGACAGCATCGGGACGTGGGATGTGAGTGCAGGAGTCCCTCCTCCTCTTAGACCTGTGAGTAGGAATTGAACTAGTAGCTCTTCTAGAAAGTTGCTTCAGAAATTGCCACCTTGCCAAATTCCTAGCAAAGAGATGGTTCAGTGTTACCTTAGGACTTTGCTGTACGTCTTGACGTGTTTCTAGGGGAGAGTGTAAAATAATCCCTTTCCCCTATAGTACCTCTGCAAAGTGAAGACTGAGGGAAGAGGAGGGAGCCTCTTGGATTCTTCTCACCTGTGCCCTGTGTGGGGAGCTACATTAACCTCCAGAAATGACTGCTGAGCCTCTTGCCTTGTCATTAGTAGCTAATGATCAGAAATTTTTTTTTTAAACTACCATGGTCCCAAGGTTCCATTCTGAGATTTATTTTTCTTTGTATGAATATGTGTAAATGATTTTAAAATAAAACTGTAAAATATTTGTAGGAAGAAAAAAAATTCCTCCCACAGACACCAACAGCAATCAAGGCCCTAAAAGATTGTGCACACAGCCCACACAGGGGAGCACCTAGAGTGCCCAACTCAGGTGACTGGGGAGGCTGAGCCACTGGGCCCTACAGGACACCTTTTAAACAAGGCCACTCTACCAACTCCAGGAGACATAGCAGCTCTACCTAATACTTAGAAACAAACACAGGGAAGCAGCCAAAATGTGAAGACAAAGAAACATGTCACAAATGAAAGAAATAGAAGCAAGCAAACTACTGGATACAGAGTTTAAAACCATGGTTATACGGTTACTCAAGGATCTTCATGAGACTTTCGAGAATCTTAGTGAGAATGTCAAAGACATAAAAAAGGACCAGTCACAAATTAAGCATACACTAACCAAAATAAAGAATAATTTACAGGGATTCAACAGTAGAGTAAAGGAGTCCAAGAACCAAATCAATGATTTGAAATATGAGGAAGCAAAAAACACCTAAGCAGAAGAGCAAAAAGAAACAATAATCCAAAAATATGAAGATAGTGTAAGGAGCCTTGGGAACAACTTCAAGTGTATCAACATTCGCATTACTGGGGGTGACAGGAGAAGAGACAGAGCAAGATATTGAAAACCTATTTGAAGAAATAATGACAGAAAACTTCCCCTACCTAGTGAAAGAAATAGATTAACAAGTTCAGGAAGCATGCAGAGTCCCAAACAAGAGGAACCCAAAGAG